AAGCTTTTATCCTCGCGTTGCATGTTCTATAGCCAGCTTACTCCCTCGCGTCACTGACTTCTTTGCATGTTTCAATACTCATTTTCTACCTAACTTTTCCTTCTTTCATCTTCTCATTTCTGTTTCTTTTGTTTTTTAATTCCTATGCAATTGTTTCTTTCTTCATCAATAATTCCCTTCTTTTTCAATTTGTTCTTTTGTCTTCTCATAATATTTTCCGTCATCAAATAATCACGAACCATTCTTGTAGTATATAAGATACACATAAAATCTCTACTTTGATCCCAATTTCGTCTTCTACGTACCTACACATAAAATAAACTCAATTAAGCACAAATATAGTATAGTTTAGCATTAAAGCACCTAAAATGTAAGATAAGTAATGCACTAAAAATACGGAGTTATAGCCAAACATCACTACCCCACATTTAAATGTTGCTCGTCCTCGAGCAATCAAACTACACTTTATATAGACACGACCTTTTTAAACAATTCTCCTAACTCATCACACCAAGAATCTTTAAAATAGACTTAGCACAAGAGTGTAACATCTTCACCTCATTACTTGACTCACAAGTACCATGTATTATTCACAACTCACTCACTTACTCTATCGTAGAGGTCAATGACATTACCTTCATGAATTAAGTGCCCTCACACAACAAAAGAGATTAGTTCCACACACAATAAAATTTAAGAACAATTAGGAACTCAAGATAGGAATAATTCACTCACTCTCAGAAATAACATTCATATGCTACAAAAGATGCACCATAGGCTTGCCCGTAGTGTACTACTCTACTAATCGAGCTCATTCAATCTAGGATCAAGTAGGACTTTAATTGGTTGTAGTGTAGGATGCGGGTCGGGTAGGATACATTTGGATATAAGAGTGACTACTCCTCCCTAAGAACTTTAATACATACACTTTAATATTTAACCCCATACTTATGTCAAACCATAACTCAACCTTCACATCAATGTATATTAACTCCATACTTCTTTACAATTGCATCAAGAGTCACCACTATTAAGGAATATTTTTCACAATAATACAACTATTTTTTTTCTTTTTCTTTTCACTTCAAGTGGCTTTTATTTTTCAAAACAGTGCACCTTTCTCCTTATTTCAGTAGTTCCATTCAAAAGCCAAACCATCCACCCCACTATTTAACTTTTACAAAGTTCATAACAATTCAAGTGCTCATGAGAGATTAAAAGGTTCAAATAGATGGTTAATTCAAACAAATGGGCAAGGCTTGTAATGTGGTTGCCAAAGAAACATGATTATAGGCTCAAAGAGGTTAACTACGATACATAACAATTAGGCGGGTAAACTATATACATCTGGCTCAACAAGAAATGCCTATATCACTTTCAAGACTGAACAAAATTACTATTTCGCTTTGCAAGCACACGGGGCAAGTTCTAGATATCAAATGCAATGCACAGAATACATACAAACCTCACACACACATGGCACATAACTCACTCAGGATTGGACTCATCAAGACACTCTAGTCAAAGCAGTTAAGCAAAGTTAAGATTATACGATTTAAGGTACTTATATAAGAGTCAAAAACTGAGCCTAAGCGTCACAACCAAAGTACTCACTATTCTCAAGGCATACCAAAGTCAAGAGATATTGCTTCAATTCAATTCATCTCACAGTGGCTTCTACTCCTAAAAAAATAAAACTACCTACACCCGGTTCAAACAAAACTCTTGAAAAAGAACCGTGACACAAAGAAAAACTAAGGGGGAATTATTACACTACCTAACAAAAGAAAATCTTTTTGTCTTTTCTTTCAACTTAAATCCCTCAAGAAACCTGTCGAATGAGATCCAACATCGGGAAAAGTCCAACTTTTCTACTTTTTTTTTTCATTTTTTTTTTCATATCTACTAAAATACTACACAACTACTAAAACAAAAATACGAAGTTAACATTTTTCTACTACTAATTTTTTTTTAAATTTATTTTTTAGAGAATTCTTCCACTCCATACTTAAAAGAGTGCAATATTCCCAATGCACAAATAAAGCCAAAAAATAACAAGGGTGGACAAGAAACTCCCTGAAAGGCCAAAGGCAGATTAATCACGACTCATGGGTACTCAGACTTTCCCCAAGCATGGTCCTTTGTGTGGCACCCCATACTTAGTTCTCACCATCTAACTTGCTTTTGCACTCTTCCAATGGATCTGCTTCCTATGCTCATAATACTACAAAACAAAAACAAAAACAAAAACTACAACAATTATAAGATAAAAATAAAAATAAAAGAAAGCAGTAAAGATGGGTTGTCTCCCAACAAGCACCTAATTTAATGTCGCGGCACGACACAGAATCTCATCTAATCATTGGCAAGTAACACCTTCGACTTCTGACAATCAAAGTCACCTCCAGAATAGTGCTTTACTCTTTGTCCATTCACTAAGAACATTCTCTCGCCACCTAAGACACGCAACTCAATTGCACCATGTGGAGTGACTCTTACTACCTCAATCAGGCCCGACCATCTCGATTTGAGCTTCCCCGGAAAGAGTCTTAACCTCGAATTGAACAAGAGAACCAACTGGCCCGGTTCGAACTCGTGATGCTGAATATGCTTATCATGCCAACACTTGGTTTTTTTTTTTTTTTTTTAAAATATAAGTTGGCATTCTCATACGCATGCAAGAGAAACTCATCAAGCTCGTTCAGGTGCATCAACCGCTTTCTACCCGCTAAGTTTGCATCAAAGTTTAGTTTCTTTATTGCCCAATAAGCCTTGTGCTCAAGTTCCACCAGTAAATGGCATGCTTTCCCATAAACCAGCTTGTAAGGGGAGGTTCCGATTGGAGTTTTGTAGGCGGTCCGGTATGCCTATAGAGCATCATCAAGCTTTGCAGCCCAATCTTTCCTACTTGCACTAACCGTCTTCTCCAGGATCTTCTTTAACTCTCTATTTGAGACTTCAACTTGCCCACTAGTCTGAGGATGGTAAGCGGTTGCAACCTTATGTATGACCCCATATTGCGCTAAGACATTATCCAAGAGCTTGTTATAGAAATGGGTGCCACCATCACTTATCATCACTCTCGGAGTGCCGAACCTTGTAAAGATATGCTTTTTGACAAACTTGACCACAACCTTGGCATCATTGGTAGGAATAGCTTTGGCCTCCACCCACTTTGACACATAGTCAACGGCCACCAAAATGTACTTACACCCACTGGACGAGGGAAATGGACCCATAAAATCAATTCCCCAAATATCAAAAATTTCAACCTCCATAATAACGTGCAATGGAATATCATGACTTTTCATAATTGTTCCTGTTCTCTGGCACCTATCACATCTCCTCACGAACTCTTGGGCATCTTTAAACACCCTAGGCCAATATAAACCCGATTGCAACACCTTAGCTGCTGTTTTGTCACCCGCATGATGACCACCATAAGGCGATGCATGGCATTCTTGTAAGATAGCATTTATTTCAGATTCGGGCACACATCTTCTCATTAACTGATCAATACAAGATTTGAAAAAAAATGGCTCATTCCACACATATGACCTCACATCTCGCAAGAACTTCTTTTTAGCATAAGGTTCAAGATCAGGCGGCATCTCTCCACTTGCCAAATAGTTCACAAAATCTGCATACCATGGCACCTCCCCAGCAGTAATGGCCAACAATTGCTCATCCGGGAATGTTTCCTTGATAACATCTCCCTCAGCTACATGATTCCGAGTTTCTAACTTGGATAAGTGATCAGCCACTTGATTCCCTGTTCCTTTACGGTCTCGGATCTCTAAATCAAATTCCCGCAAGAGTAAAACCCAATGGATTAGCCTTGGTTTAGCCTCTTTCTTTTCAAACAAATACCCGATGGCCGCATGGTCTGTGTAGACGATGACTTTGGTGCCAACCAAATAGGCTCGAAATTTATCGAACGCCCACACTACAGCAAGCAACTCCTTTTCTATCACAGTATAATTTATTTGAGTAGGAGTGAGAGTCTTGCTTGCGTAGTAAATGGAGTAAAATATTTTGCTCCTTCTCTGGCCCAATACAACCCCAATTGCACCATCATTAGTGTCACACATCAGCTCAAATGGCTCATTCCAGTCAGGAGACACTATGATTGGTGCACTCACTAACTTCTTTTTCAGATCCTCGAGTGCTTTCAGACAAGTATCGTCAAATTTGAACGACACATCCTTATCTAACAACCTGCGCAAAGGAGAGGAAATTTTTGAGAAATCCTTTATAAATTAGCGATAAAAACTTATATGTCCCAGAAAAATCCTAACTCCTTTCACTGAAATCGGTGGTGGCAACTTTTAAATTGCTTCCACCTTAGCCTTGTCAACTTCCATTCCATCTTTGGACACCTTGTGTCCCAGCACTATACCTTCACGTACCATAAAATGGCACTTTTCCCAATTTAGTACCAGATTAGTCTCCTCGCACCTGGCAAGCACTTTAGCAAGATTGGTTAAGCATTCATCAAAAGACGGACCAAACATAGATAAATCATCCATAAAAACCTCCACAAACCGTTCCACCATATCGGTGAAAATAGCCATTATACACCTTTGAAAAGTCACAGGTATATTACACAACCCGAATGGCATTCTCTTAAATGCATAAGCGCCATAAGGGCATGTAAAAGTGGTCTTTTCTTGATCTTCCGGGGCAATAGCAATCTGATTATACCCCGAATAGCCGTCAAGGAAACAATAATATTGCTGTCTGGCTAACCTGTCAAGCATTTGATCAATGAAGGGGAAAGGAAAGTGATCTTTTCGTGTAGCATTATTCAACTTCCTATAGTCTATGCATATTCGCCAACTAGTTACAGTCCTAGTTGGGATTAATTCATTTTGTTCATTTACTACAACATTCATAGCCCCCTTTTTATGTACACATTGAACAGGGCTTACCCACTTGCTATCGGAGATAGGAAATGCTATACCTGCATCGAGCCACTTAATTACTTCTTTTCTTACTACCTATTTCATGATTGGATTAAGGCGGCGTTGATGCTCCACGCTAGGCTTGTGTCCCTCCCCCATGAGTATTTTGTGCATGCAGAATGCAGGGCTAATACCTTTTATGTCAGACATCGTCCATTCAATGGCATGCTTGTGCTCCCTCAGCACACTTAAGAGCTTTTCTTCCTGCAATTCAGAAAAATGAGAAGAAACAATCACAGGTAAAGTGTTAGAATTTCCTAAATATGCATAATGAAGATGAGATGGTAAGGGTTTAAGTTTCAATTTTGGGTCTTCCTCAACTGAGGGTTTAGGAGGCGGGTTGATTGGCCTATCCAGAGGCTCAAATTGGGTTCTTTATTTTATGTATTCACACGATGCATCCAGAATGTGCAACATCTCCTCAACCTCTTCTTCAAGTTCTAAGTGATTGAACAACGTCAATGCCTTTTCTAGTGCATATTCTATAAATGCCCTTGGCTCTACAACTAGTTCATTTATCTCCACCACCGAAATCATGGCCAGGTCGTCGTAATGACTAGGCAACTGAATGGATCAATATACATTGAAGACTGTTTCTTCATTGTCCACCCTCAGGATTATCTTACTTTCTCGGACTTTGATAATTGCATCTCCAGTGGCCAAAAGAGGTTGTCCCAAGATGGTAAGAACTAACTCATTAGCCACGTAATCTAGGATGATAAAATCTGCAGGAAAAATAAACTTCCCAATCTGCAGCAGGACGTCCTCAATTATCCCCTCAGGATAAACATAAGATCTATCAGCTAACTGTAGCATCACTGTGGTGGGTCTCGGAGCTCCTAAGCCCAATTGTTTGAACACTGACAACGACAACAGATTGATACTTGCACCCAAATCACACAAGGCTCTACCCACATCAAATTCACCAATCCTCACGGGGACGGTAAAACTACCCGGATCCTTAAGCTTTTGTGGAAGCTTATGTTGAATCGTGGAAGTGCACTCCTCAGTAAGTGCTACGGTCTCAAACTCAGTTAACCTCCTTTTATTTGCCACTATGTACTTAATATATTTTGCATATTTTGGGACCTCACGAAGCATGTCCACCAAAGGGATGTTCAAATGTATCTGCTTTAGCATATCTAGGAATTTGTGAAACACGTGGTAATCATTCTTCTTTCTCAATCTTTGAGGAAAAGGGGTGGCACCCTCTCTGATTTTTGCTCAGGCTCTGTTTTGTTTCTCTCATCTACCTCTACAGGTTTTGGCACTCTTTCTTCTTCGAGCCCAGATTGCTCCTTTTTCTTCTTAGGCACTTCTATCAACTCTCTCCCATTTCTCAATGTCACTGCATTGACTTGAGGATTTTTACTTGTATCACTTAGGAAAGCTCCAACAGGTCTAGTATTCTGATTGTTAGCCATCTGCCCAAACTGCCTCTCTAGATTTCTGAACTCTGTGCGCAATTGTTGATTCTCAGCCCTGACTTATTGACTCTCTTCCCTGACTTGTTGATTCTCATCCATAACTTTCTGATTGTCTATCGAGATCTTTTTCATCATGTCAGTCAGACTCTCCTCTACTTGCTGTGGAGCTTGAGGTGGATGATTGTAATTCCCTTGAGGCCTGATATTTTGATTTCCACCCCAAGAGAAGTTAGGATGATTCCTCCAGTTCGGATTGTATGTGTTACTATATTGAGCATTTTGATTTATCGGCCCTCTAGCTTGTTGCCCCACGTAGTAGATGGATTCAGGATTCACGGGACATATGTCACTTGTATGACCTTCACCACATAACGCGCAGCAAATAGACATCTGTTACACATGTTGCATCTGTTGTGCGTGGTGCGTTGTCATTTTATTCATCTGATTCGCTAATCTCGCTATATCTGCCCTCATTGCTGAGAAATCATTTAAGCTTGATCATACCTGCTGTCTCTCGTTTAAGTGCTCTTCGTGGTTCCCCATCTCCTTGCCAATTATTATCAGTAGCAGTGAAATTGTTTAGCAGGATCTGGATCTCATTATACGGTCTTGCCATGCAACTACCCCCACATGCTGAGTCAAGATTCATCTTTGATCTCTCGTCCAACCCATCAACGAAAGTGTGACCCAACACCTCATCAGTCTGACAATAGTGTGGGCAGTCTCTTAGTAGCCTCTTGTATCTTTCCCAAGCTTGTCGAAGAGTCTTACCATCTCGTTGTTGAAATCTAAGAATCTGGCTCCTTAGTGACTTTGTCTTCTTTGTGGAAAAAACTTGATTAAGAATTTCCTTGCAAGATCATCCCAATTGTGGATTGAGTTCGCGGGCTCCTTTTATAACCATTCCTTAGCTTCCCCCATCAGTGAAAAGGGATAGAGTGTCAGTCTGACATAGTCCTTGGAAACGTTCGGATAATTGTAAGTGTCTGTAATTTCCAGGAAGTTCTGAATGTGCCTCTGCGGGTCTTCATGAGATAGACTGTCATGCCCCAAAATCGAGGAGCGCGACCGACACTCAATCGAGTGAACCCGACCGAGCAAGCCTGTTAGATTCCTTCTACCCAAACTCATTCATGAATAAAGAGAATATATGTTTTCCTTAATTAAACAATAAAGTGGCCATGTCTGAAATTACCAATTTCTTATCGTAAATTTCACCATTTTTAAAGTCTCAAATGGACAAGTAATACAACCACAACATAGCATAGTTTGTCTTTCCCAGCACTAATACACAACCCACACTATGTCTACGACGCCTCTATTGATAAAGATGAGTACAATGATAATGCCAACAATAAGGCCCCGGCTATACCTCAAATAAAATACACAAAAAACAAAAGATACATGACCTCGGGATGAAGTGGGGCTCACCAAGTCAGCTAGGAAGAAGGTGTACTGCTATCACTGATCAATATCTCCTGTTGTGGAACCACCTGCATCCATTTAAAGATGTAGCGCCCCCGGCAAAAGGGACGTTAGTACCGTCGAATAGTACTAGTATGAAAACTAAACACCAATTTAAGAATTTAGAAATACAAGATGAATATGATGAACCAATGCGGCAATAGTATAATATATATAAACGTTTAAACCAGAGCAAGCTTATTAAGAGCTACCAATAACATTTATAGGATTTAAGATGAGATCCTCTGTAACCATCTTCACACAAAGCGGCCCCTCCGCCTCACCCGATGTATGCAGGTGGAGGTGTATGTACAATACCACAACTATACCCAAGCGGCCCTGCCGCCTCACCCCAATGTATGCGGGTATGTGTATAACCACAGTACCAAGAACCTACACAAGCGTCAACGATACCAATACCAACACAAAGCGGCTATGCCGCCTTACCCCAATGTATGCGGGTGGAGGTGCATCAACGATACCAATACCAACACAAAGCGACTATGCCGCCTCACCCCAATGTATGCAGGTGGATGTGCATCGAAATCCCAATCTTTACACAACTTGGCATAATAACTTTCACATAAATCACGACCTGAAATTTATAACATGTGGATACATAATCCATAGTTTGAAACACATCCTTAATTTATAATGCAATATGATAAGAGCATTTGAAATACAAATTGAACATATATCTTTATCACAAAACTTATCGGAATACTCGGTTTGTAATCAACATCTTGGAACTTACAAGGATAATGGGAATTCCAATTCTTAAAGAAGAGTTTAGCCAACATACCTCAATTGAGCTTCCTTAAACTCTAAAACGTTCCGGAATTCTTAGCAACTTCAATCTATTTTAGAAATATAACAAATTGAACCAAAATTAGGAAGATGATTATGGTTCTAGCTCATTTGAGCATTTTATCAAACACTAGGTGTGCATTATGGTTTCAAGGCCCTTTTATGGAGGATTCCATCATCCAACAACCCAATCTTTACCATTCTTATCTCAACAATCTTCCTACACCCTTTGATAACACATGCATGTAAGATAAACAACTCTCATGCCCAAAAATTATCTTGCTAATTACCCATTTTCAGAAAATTTTGAAATTAGGGTTTAGGGTGTAGAATCTTACCTCTAGGATGAAGACCTAGTGAGCTTCCCTTCTTAATACGGCCCTCCTCACTCTATGAGGTTGAACTACGATGTCCAACTCTCTTTCAATTCTAGTTCTAGCTTCGACTTCTCTCCTCCCTCTATGAAGTGTTCGTTCGATTTCAGGATCAAGAGGAAGGAGATTGTTTGCGCTTCCACTCCTCTGCATTCAAGAGAAGAGCCAGTGTTATCACAAATAAATTAAATTAAAAATTAAAACTTGAACAAATAACGAATAAAAGCTTAACTTAACTAAACAATCAATAACTAAGTCCCTGGAAACGGTGCCAAAAACTTGTTGGTTCCCTAAGTACACGCAAGTATACGCGGTCGTCAAGTAATGAAGTGACTCGAAAGTCGGATGTCGAACCCACAAAGACTTAGATTGATCGTTAACTAAGCAAACTAAAATCAATTAATTGTCCAAACTATTTAAGAGTGATATTTTTCTATTAATCTACTATTGTGGAAATTAAACAAGTAACAACTAATTTATCAAGAATGCAAATGTGTATGATGAGATTCTACTTCAGAGGAGATGAAAATTCTAGGGTTGTGGTTGGTTTATCAATCCTTTTAAGTTCAATAATTACACTCGTTAATCCAGATTATCTATGGTTGCTAATTAACCAGATCGTTTATATGAATAGCATGTTCCCACAATACTACTCGCCTGCCCACAATATATCAATCCTATATTCCTATGGTATTGAGTCTATCATGAACGAATATAATATGATATTTAATTAAGAAAGACTGTTAGGTATATTCCTATCATAATCGCGAAATCTTCCCTAGAGCCACGGGTTCAAAAACAAGCTTTCTCTAATTCTACTCTAATCTAAACATAGCTTTCCCAAGTATAGCATAGATAGTAGGGTGAATTGGTAGCTACAACAACTCACAAATTAAAACTAGAATTAAGAAAACAACCACAAGATGATAATCCGAATTAACGAAGATGTAATTAATAAACGTTAATAATCATGTCAACCACAACCCTAGAACTTAGAGTGCTTAGCCACTCATGTTCGTAGTAACAATTTTCCAAGTATTTTGCATAAATAAATTACAAATAAAAGATAAAGGGATGAAGAACTCTATGATTTTCTCCTCCAAGAGTGGTTCCATGTGATGTTCTTGCCTCCGGTCACAAAACTCCTCTATAAAATAATGTTTAATGACTATTTATATGTGTAGGGAAAAGACCCAAACGAAATAACCAAGTCCAAAACCAAATAGGAGACAAAATAGGCCTTAAAATCCCGGAACATCCTCACTACAGGCCTCCCGTCGCGAGGCAAAACACGAGCTTTACCTCGCGCTACACTGTGCGGCGCACGCTCAAACGCGCGAAAAATCCCTCGCAAAGCCAGCTCTAACGCGAGCTTTTATCCTCGCGTTGCACGTTTTATAGCAAGCTTACTCCCTCACGTCGCTGACTTCTTTGCATGTTTCAATTCTCATTTTCTGCCTAACTTTTCCTTCTTTCATCTTCTCGTTTCTGTTTCTTTTTTTTTTTTCAATTCCTATGCAATTGTTTCTTTCTTCATCAATAATTCCCTTCTTTTTCAATTTGTTCTTTTGTCTTCTCATAATATTTTCTATCATCAAATAATCACGAACCATTCTTGTAGTATATAAGATACATATAAATTTCCTACTTTGCTCCCAATTTCGTCTTCGACATACCTACACATAAAATAAACTCAATTAAGCACAAATATAGTATAGTTTAGCACTAAAGCACCTAAAATGTAAGGTAAGTAATGCACTAAAAATACGGAGTTATAGCCAAACATCACTAAGCCCAAGAAACTGCGAATCTCGATTGGCGTTGTAGGTCTAGGCCAATTCATTACTGCTGAAATCTTTTGAGGATCAACATTTATTCCTTCTCTAGAGACAACATGACCCAAGAATGTGACAGATTTGAGCCAAAATTCACATTTTGAAAATTTCGCATACAATTGGTGCTGATGAAGAGTCTGCAAGACTGCCCTAATATGATCGGCATGGTCCTCTCAACCTCGTGAATACACAAGAATATCGTCAATGAACACTATCACAAAGGAGTCGAGGAA